ATACTTAGAAAAGAAAATAATATAAAAAGAAAAAACAAAAATACATAATCATTATTTAATTCATGAAAAAAATATATGAATTAAGAAACTGTTTTTTAATATTATTAAATGCTTCTTTATATACAATATTCATATCGGAATCACCATCACCACATATCATTATTTTTAGACCCTTCTTATTCGTGAATCTAGAAAGAGAAACGTACACCATGACTAAAAAAAGGATCGTCAAGACTAAGCCGACATGTTCGAGAGACTCATTTTGATTCTTGTTGATCGTCAAAGAATAGGAGATCATGATAGGAAATTGTCTCCGTTGAAACTTGAACAGTACCTTCAAACAGATAAGGAGTAATAAATGTGTGATGAATTTATTATAATTGTCATCAAATATAAATATTTGGGTCGAAATTATCTACTGAATAAATAATTACGTTATAAACAGTTGTTGAATTGGGCACGATAACATATTAAAAAAGTGTCGTGAATTGAGCGTAATTTTTTGTTAAAAAAATATGTAACAATTGAACTAATTTTTTTATATTAAATAATCACTATGTGACGAATATCGCAAGTTACTTACGAATTTACCAAAAAGAAATTTTTAAAGAAATTAATGTGCAAGTGTTTTGCCTAGTAATCGCATATTTGAGTAAAAAAAATAAAATGATGGTTCTGCGGATCACATTTTTTTTTACTTATTTTTAATAAAAAATAAATATAAAAAATTTGCGACTGAAACACTTGCATAAGGATTTCCATTTTTCGAAGCAAACTTGTTATTCTAACAATTCTTTATGCATGCAACGTCATGTATCAATAAATAGTACAGTCTACATAAATGATTATGTTGCAACTTGAAAAGTTACGTGTCAATATAATTACTACATGAATGAAGTCAGCAAAATTTCATTCACAACTTCATCACTTTGTATTAATTTTGTTAACCCCCACACCCCAATCAAGTTCATGTACTAATTTAATGGCCTGACTTTGCGTCTCTGTCCGTTTGCCGATCTCTTTGTAGAGTGTGAGATATAATCGGTGAAGAAGGCCGAGAAAGGGATGCAGAAAGTCATGTGTCATTCACTCACACTCCTAGATGGCAAACAACCATCATTATTTATCTACTTTACCCGTGTATAAATTCCCCTTATACGAGAGTAATGGGGATTGTCAGCAGATAATTATGCAGTAAACTATGCGACAGACAGACGCTGATAATTCAACAAGTGCGATATAATTATACGTTAGAATATGCGACATATAGGACAAGAATGAAAATCCCCAAAGCAATGATCCAGAGGATCATAGGTCAAGCTGAGATCAACAACTAGAGGAACATGATAAAAAACGACAGGGACGACGACTTATATGAACTCATCGAGCATACGCCGATCAAAGACGAGAAAAGTATGTAGCTAAAATGAAAAATGCAAAATACATTTCTCGTCTTTGATCAGTGTATGCTCGATCAGCTCATACAAGTCGTCATCTCTATTGTTTTTCATCATGTTTCTCCTGCCATTGATCTTGGCCCGACCCATGATCCTCGGCCTCATTGCTTTGGGATTTCCATTCTTAGAAACTTTGGGGATTCAAGATGTTCAAAACCTCTTTCACATGTTTCTGGCACACATTCCCAAGAGGACGACACTTCTAGGGCTTACACGAAAAGTTGATAATTGAGAATAAATTGGAAAGATATAAAAACATGTGCAAGAAGTTGATTTATGACAGACCCACAATTGGCCAAACTGCTCACACAATTTCTGTATCTTTTCGCACTTACTCAATTTACTTTGCCTATGTGTCTCACATTTTATTGTATAACTTGATCGCACTTGCTGAATTATCTTCCCTTTATTGTCTCCTAATTTATCGCATAATATGTTTCACACTTTATCGATTATCTTGACATGTTTGCCGCGTAGTTTATCACATAAATATTTCGCAATTTATATATTATCTTGACATGTCTGTGACATAGTTTATCGCCTAAATATTTCACAATTTTTCATTTTTTTCTTCACCTCGTTTTTTGCATGGTTGTCGCATAAATATTTTGCACTTTATGGTATAATGATATCGCACTAGCTCGATTATCTTCACATGTCTATCGCATTTTTTTTTTTTTTT